CACACGTTTATCCAGAATATCTTCTATAAGTCGATGTATTAGTGGATTTGCATAAACTTTGAGAAGGATCGCAGTCCTTGTAAATAAGGAGTGTGCACTAGTATGTATTGAAAAGTGAGCGGTACGGCCGTGCTGTGCACTTCAAATCATATCAAGTTTACTAGGGGAAATATAGGCAAACGCATTTGAGCTCCCTTCAGTTTTACGATAAAGTTTAAGTTTCTTTCGATATGTTTGACGAATTAGAATACAGTGGCTCAGACAATACTAAAAAGGCAAAGTTTTCAATAAAAGATTAACGCATTATCCGCTACTTGTAGGCACGAATTGTAAGGGAATATAGGATCTGAAATGCGTCCACTAATAGGCTAACAATTGCGATACGACTCATATAAATTGTCTCAGATGATGTGGCAGGGAAACATTGGACATATTCAACTTCAAGGCCTCCTCTCGTAACATCTGAACAAATGCGTGCGTCAGCAAAATCGAACTGTTATGCTCCCACTCTGTAAAATAATAGTAGTTGCGTTAACATAATAATTTGCAGTAGATCTTTGATGCAATCTTTTCGTTTTCCCCGAAATCGAAAGATATCGAGCAGCAATTGCACATGCCTCTTGAAATTCGCACTTAAATATTTTAAGAAGTAATTTATAAGGGACAGACGCAAACACATAACAGCAAAAAATAGGAGCAAGTTTTCTAGACGTTACACTGACTGCTGACATATAAAAGTGCACATAACTTGCATGTCACTATCACAAATGTGGTGGAAAATCGACGCAATCTCGGCTGTTACTAACCGCTAAATATCGACTTTGATTTTGAATAAAAACGGAAGGGAACAAAATCGCAATTTCGGATAGCTTTTCGGCGAGTTAATTATTATTTATTAGATAATATTATTCATTACTGATTAATTTATAACTTGCCAGCGATCGCTGACAAACAATTGTTTCGGACAGACATGCGTCGGAGGTGCCGGTAACATTGAGTTATTTCACCAGTTTGTGCTCTGGTATCCAATCAAGTAAACAGCCATAGATTGGCCGCAAAGAGTAAATCTACTTTTTGAGGCCAATCTGTGGCTGTTAAACTGGTGAGATAAAATTTCGTATCGATGCGAGGTT